ATTTTATAGTCTTTTAGTATCTTCTCAGAGACTCAGGTGATTTTTAATGTCACTACTGTCCCTTTCGTGACCTTGATTTTGAATCTCGGAGTGTCCAGTTTATAAAGTACTAAAGTTGTAGAACATGTGTTTACAGATTCAGTGAGGCCTTAAAGTTAGGGTGTGGGCTCTTTACCTTTTCCTGCCCTTGGTGCCCAGGTGGGTTTGGGTGTTGCTGAGGGAAGGTTGTAGGGGCAGAGTCCAACCTTCTTCCTCAACCCCTTCCCCTGACAAATCATTTCTGGAATCTTTCTCTGAAGGATGTCATCTTTTCTTAACCTTGGTAGCCTCAAATTTCTGTCAGAGATTGTCTTTTCCTTACTGGGATCCTACTTATGAAAGAAAACAGAATCAAAACTACTTACTAAATTTCCTTGGGGGAGCAACTCTGGCAGTATAGCTCCTTCCTTGTAACACGGCTTGGGATAGGCATACTGAAGTAATATTTGCGCCAATTATAATTGCTGTAAGGGGAGAAGAATCTGAAATTTCTTCTGGTTTCATTTGGTGACTTTTGTGTCATAAGATGTCTACGAATGATCTGAAGGAAATAATGCTTTCCTCTTAAATTTTCATGATTGACCTATCATGATGTCAACCCATTTGAGTGGAAGATGATTTATACTAGGGATTTAGCTTTCTTATGATCCTTCTGGGTGATTTTTAAAAGGATGCTTCCATATAGAGGCATATAGATAGGACTTTGGGGGGTATGCCAAAAATTTGTATGAATCACTTCAGTAGGTAACTTTGGCAGACATCTGTTAGGGACATTTTGAAAGAGTAAGGTCTTCATGTGATCTTATTTTCCTTACTCGTATTGCTTACAAACAAGATGGTACTTAGCTTGTTCCGGTAAAGTGGCCTGGAAAGGAAACCATCTTTTTTGAAGTTTTGGGAGGACCATTTTCCATGGTATTTTCACATGGTTTTGACAATAATAAATTTAAGTCATTTAGAGGTCCTGCAAATACAGATATTGTTACCAAGTTTTATTAAAAGTGAAAGAGAGGGGCGCCTGGGTGGCTCAATTGGTTAAGCATCTGCCTTTGGTTCAAGTCATGATCCCAGGGTCCCAGGACTGAGTCCCGTGGTGGGCTCCCTGCTCAGTGGTGAGTCCACTTCTCCCTCTCCCTCTGCCCCTCCACCCCACCTCGTGCTCTTTCTCCTCTCTCTCTCTCTTCCGAATAAATAAATAAAATAAAAAATAAGTGAAAGGGGACCTTATTGGGACCAGTACTTAAAAAGTAAGTACCATGGCATGTCCCTTTTTTACTAGTGTATTTTCATTTACTAATAGATGCTCCTCTATAGAAACAGTGCTTTGGACACTTAATACTCTTTTAAGTAAGATGTCTGTAAAACTGAAAACTGATGGCTTTTACCAGGCCCTGCCAACTGTAGGCATTACAATTTTAACAAAGGTCCTTAATGTTTTAGTACAACTGTTTTTTTTTTTTTTTTAATTCATTTGAGAATGAGCAAGAAAGAGCACGAGCTGGGGGAGGGACAGAGTGAGAAGCAAACTCCCCTACTGAGCAGGGAGCCCAACTCGGGGCTGCATCATAGGATCCCGGGATCATGACCTGAGCCGAAGGCAGATGCTTACCACTGTTAATCGTCCCTGTATGTTTGCAGATATAATTCTTTTGGTAGTTTCTGGATCTTTTTTGGTGGTAGGGCTTTTAGGGAATACTGGGTTGACATTGGTATACTTTTTCTAAAAATGTTGGCATTACTCAGATAGGTCAAGAAATCATTGTTAGCGAATAGAGAAAACACTTAACGGGGCTGCTTTTAAAGTCTGGATGGATAGATTTCCTTGGAGGGACAGATTGGTTGGGAATTCTGTAGGGGTTAGGATTATTAAGAGTTGTTTCCAGGGTTTGGGTTGAGGACTGACTCTTGGAGGGTTCACAAGACCTCTTCAGCAGGTCCAAGGGAACTTCCTCTTTTCAACTAAATATATGTAACCAGATTTTCTTGATATACTTTAAAAATATACTACAGCTGATTGACTACAGAAGAAGATATGAAATTCCAGTTTATTTCTATTTAGCCAGACATTAAAGAGATTTGCAAAATATATGCAACATAAAACAATGCCATTCTTTTATTTTTTGCTTATGATTAAATGAATTGATTTAAAACATTTTATTTTTTAAGTTTTTATTTATTTAAGTAATCTCTACACCCAAAGTAGGGCTCGAACTCTGGACCCCAAGATCAAGAGTGGCATGCTTTTCCAACTGAGCCAGCCAGGTGCCCATAAAATATTTTAAATTTATGTTGTGATCAAAGTGAATAGATACAAACTATATAGACTAAAGCTCTTTGAAGTCCTCAATTTTAAGAGTGTTTATTTTTTTATTTTTTATTTTTATTAATTAATTTATTTATTTTAAAGATTTTATTTCTTTATTTGACAGAGAGCACAAGTAGAGTGGCAGGCAGAGGGAGAAGGGGAAGCAGGCTCTCTGCTGAGCAGGGAGCCCAATGCGGGGCTCGATCCCAGGGCCCTGGGATCATGACCTGAGCCGAAGGCAGACGCTTAACGACTGAGCCACCCAGGCGCCCCTATTTTTATTTTTTTTTAAGATTTTATTTATTTGACAGAGAGAGACACAGCGAGAGAGGGAACACAAGCTGGGGGAGTGGGAGAGGGAGAAGCAGGCTTCCCACTGAGCAGGGAACCCGATGTGGTGCTCCATCCCAGGACCCCAGGATCATGACCTGAGCCGAAGGCAGACACTTAACAACTGAGCCACTCAGGTGCCCCAGGAGTTTTTAAAGAGGTCCACGGGACGACTGGGTGACTCAGTCAGTTAAGCATCTGCCTACAGCTCAGGTCATGATCCCCCTCTGGGATTGAGTCCCACATCAGGCTCCTTGCTCAGCGGGGAGCCTGCTTCTCCCTCTGCCTGCCGCGTTCTCTCTCTTTCTCTCTCTCTCACAAATGAATAAAATCTTGAAAAAAAATAAATAAAGGGGTCCTAAGACCAAAAATTTGAGAGTTGTAATCATAAGAAGAGAAACTTAGTTCTGCAAAGGCCTGACTCAATAGAAATAAATCTAGGATCTATGCATGTGTTAAGAGATACATTGACTGCAGAAGACGTTACAAAACCAGTAGAGGGTTTGGTAAGAACTTTGATTATCTGTGCTTTTGTGAAGTGAAATGAAAATTTAAAAGTGTTTTCTAAAGGGAAAACAATAAGCTTTCCCATATAACCAATAGCAATTAAAATGTAAGAAAGTGGGCCTTTTTGTCTAATTTTGTCATTTTATTAGTTTTACAACATTTATAATAAACAGATATGATTATGTTTTCACTTGTTTTTTTTTAAGAATTTATTTATTTGAGAGAGAGAGTGTGTATGTGCGCACAAGCATGCACACATGAGTTGTGGGGAAGGGCAGAGGGAGAGGGAGAAGCCGGCGCCGGCTGAACAATGAGCCCAATACAGGACTCAATTCCAGGACCTGGAGATCATGACCTGAGTCAAAGGCATATGCTTAACTGCCTGAGCCCCACCCAGGTGTCCCTGTTTTTGCTTCTTTTCTTAAAGATTTTATTTTATTTTATTATTTCTTTGTTTATTTTTAAAGATTTTATTTATTTGACAGAGAGAGACACAGTGAGAGAGGGAACCACAAGCAGGGGGAGTGGGGGAGGGAGAAGCAGGCCTTCTGCGGAGCAGGGAGCCTGATGCGGGGCTCGATCCCAAGACCTGGGATCATGACCTGAGCCGAAGGCAGATGCTTAATGACTGAGCCACCCAGGCGCCCCTTAAAGATTTTATTTTTAAGTAAACTCTACATCCAAAATGGGATTTGAACTCACAACTCCAAGATCAAGAGTTGCGTGGTCCACTGACTGAGCCAGCCAGGCACCCCCATGTATTTTGTTTCTTGAGTGCTGTCTTTTGGGGTCAAAAGTTTGGGACATAAAACATAAAAATTGATCCAAGTAATTTTTTAAATTGACTTGGTATTTTTAAGAACTGTTAGATTTATAGAAAAATAATGAAGATGAGTTCCCGTATATTCCTTCACCTAGTTTCCCCTTTTATTAACATCTTATATTATTATGACATATTTGCTATAATTAATAAACTGATACTATTATTAACTAAAGTCCATGCATTTTATTTGTATTTCCTTAGTTTTTAGCTAATATCCCTCTTTTGTTCCAGGATCTCATCCAGGATACCACATTGTATTTAGCTGTCATATCTCTTTAGGCTTTTTAAATTTTTTTTAAAGATTTTATTTATTTATTTGAGAAAGAGAGAATGAGAGACAGCACAAGAGGGAAGAGGGCCAGAGGGAGAAGCAGACTCCCCGCTGAGCACGGAGCCCGATGTGGGACTTGATCCCAGGACTCCAGGATCATGACCTGAGCCGAAGGCAGTCGCTTAACCAACTGAGCCACCCAGGCGCCCTAGGCTTTTTTTAGTTGTTGCAGTTTCTCAGACTTTATTTCTGATGAACTTGACAGTTTTGAGGAGTACTGACTGGGAATCTTGTAGGATATTCCATTATTGGAATTTATCTGTTGTTTTTCTCATGGTGAGACTGGATATATGGAAAGCTGATCTTTTTTAAATTTATTGTTAATTTATTTTTAAAATTTTATTTTTCGGTAATCTCTACACCCAATGGGGAGCTCAAATTCACAACCCTGAGATCAAGAGTCACATACTGTACTGACTGAGCCAGCCATGCACCCCTGATTTTTTTTTTTTTTAAGATTTTATTTGTCAGAGAGCGTGCACAAGCAGGGGTGGCGGCAGACAGAGCAGTTAGAAGGAGAAGCAGGCTCCCCGCCGAGCAGGGAGCCCGATGCGGGACTCGATCCCAGGACCCTGAGATCATGACCTGAGCTGAGGCCGCTCAACCAACTGAGCCACCCAGGCGTCCCACCCCTGATTTTTTTTTTTTTAAGGAGACATCTATTCTTGCAATCTTGTCTGTGGAGGACTTAAAACTGAGAATTTTTGTATCACCATAAATAACATAAACCCTGTGCCATAACCTGAGCCTCACCTCACTTGATAGATTTACCCATATCTCAGTAAGGAGCATGATGTATTTTTACTAAAGTCTTCTCTTTGTTTACAAAGTCTTGTCATCAAGTTTTCTTCATTGGCACATCTTTACCAGTCAGACCTTTTGACTTTATACTTTTTATCTTTAGTTTTGTTGAGACGTTTAACAATAACTTTTGTGCCTAGAATTTTTTTTACTTGTTCGATAACATTTATTGAACATCCTTAGTACTGTTCTGTGAAGGTAGTTTTAATTTTAAATTCCTCCTTAAAAATAATTTTTACACTTACACTTATATGTAGCTGGTATCTATCTGTAGAGCCAGAATAAGCTGTCATTCTTTTTTTTTTTTTTTAAGATTTTATTTACTTATTTGAGAGAGAGAGCACACAAGCCAGCACAAGCAGGGGGAGAGGCAGAGGCAGAGGGAGAGGGAGAAGCAGGCTCCACGCTGAGCATGGAGCCTGATGCGGGACTTGATACCAGGACCCTCGGATCATGACCTGAGCCGAAGGCAGATGCTTAACTGACTGAGCCACCCAGGCGCCCCAGCTGTCATTCATTTTTTTTTTTTTAAAGATTTATATATTCTAGAGAGAGAGAGAGTGCATGCACGCAGGGGGAGGGCCAGAGGGAGAGAATCTTCAAGCAGAATCCCCGCTGAGAGCTGGAGGTTGCTTAATGGACTGCATCACCCAGGTGTCCATAAGCTGTCATTGTTAAAAGAGAGTCTTAAGCTAGTATGATCACTGTGGTCAAGTTGATTTTTTTTTTCCTGTATCTGCAGTGTGTAAAATATGACCATTGAGTGAGGCTAAAACAAACTTCTAAAAGGTATGAAATTTTTTCTTTTTAAGATTTATTTATTTGAGGGGTGTAGGGAGAGAAAGAGAATCTCAAGCAGGCTCCCCACTGAGTGTGGAGCCCACTGCAGGGCTCGATCCCACGACCCTGAGATCATGACCTGAGCTGAAATCAAGAGTCGGAGGCTTAACCGACTGAGCCACCCAGGCACCAAGGTATGGACTTTTTTTTTTTTTTTTTAAGTAGGCTCCATGCCCAGTGTGGAAACCAATGTGGGGCTTGAACTCATGACCCCAGATCAAGACATGAGCTGAGATCAAGTCGGAAGCTTAACTGACTGAGCCACCCAGGTGCCCCTGGGTATTTTATTTATAATGGTTAACATTGGAAAGTAAAGGAAATAACCTAAATGTCCAATAATAAATTTTAAAAAGTATCAATATAATGAAATATTAAACGTTCACAGCATAAGTAAAAATAAGGTATAAATAAAGTGTAAGTAAAAGGAAATATATGCATTTTTAAATTATTATTAAAATTTTTTTAAAAAAGATTTTATTTATTTATTTGACAGAGAGAGACAGGGAACACAAGCAGGGGGGGAGTGTGAGAGGGAGAAGCGGGCCCCCCACCAAGCAGGGAGTCCGACGCGACGTGGGGCTGATCCCAGGACCCAGGGCTGAAAGCAGTCACTTAATGACTGAGCCACTCAGGACCCCTGATTATTAAAATTTTTTGAAAATTATGAAGATAAGCATTTTAGAAAATACTGGAAATGTGTGCCAAAATGTAGTAGGTTTTCTCTGAGATTTTGGCTAATTTTCTTCTTTATATGTGTTCTCTGATATTTCAGTACTTTTGCATTAAGGAAAATTATTTTAAACCTCTTCTATTGCTTAGCTTTTCCCCAGTAAGAAAATAGGCAGTTAGGACGTTTTATATAGTGGACATACAAGAAATGGCTTTGTTAATATGAAACATTAATATTGTGGAACCATACATAGGCTTGCCCACTACAGTGTTACAGGAGTTGAATTCTGCTGCCACCCTAGCAACTCCTCTCTTAGCAGATCCATTAAGTGCCTCTACCCTTGAATTACATACCTAAAACAATCTTAGAAAAAGCTCTTTAAGCATGGAAACCTGACAGTATATTCTCCTTTAAGAAACAAGGTTGCATAGGGGTGCCTTGGTGGCTCAGTTGGTTAAGTGTCTGCCTTCGGCTCAGGTCATGATCTCAGGGTCCTGGGATCAAGCCCCGCATCGGGCTCCCTGCTCAGTGGGGAGTCTGCTTCTCCCTCTCCCTCTGCCCTCCCCGTCCCCTGCTTGTGCATTCTCTCTCTCTCTCTCTCTCAGATAAATAAACAAATAAATAAATAAATCTTAAAAAAAAAAGCAAGGTTGCATATATCTCAATACAGCTGAAAAAAATACAGCAAAAAAATCAGATTAATGGGCCTTGAATACTATAACAACTTCATTATATAATGAAGATTAGAGAATTCAAACCATTGTGTTAAACATAACCAGTCAGAAAACAAAACAAGTTTGCATTGGGCTTCCTGGGAACTAAAGCTTTGCAACATAAACATTTCCTCATGACTAACATTTTTGACCATTTACTTTGTAAATACCAGGACCTGTCTGAAGGCTATTACATGTATTAAGCCTCATAGTTTCCCCTTTATACATGCACCTAATGTATCTACAGGGAGATTAGTACAAAGCCACACAGTCAGGATTTGAACTCAGGCAGTGTGACACCAGAGCGTATCCTCTTTAACATCTATTTTACTCTACAAGAATAAGGGAAATGATGTCATTGTGCTTTAAAAATGAGCATTGGTGAAATAACAGGGGGCAGGGGGGCGTGGAAATATAAGGGAGCCCTTTAACCTGTGTTGAAATTGCTCTGATGCGGGACGCCTGGGTGGCTCAGTCGTTAAGCGTCTGCCTTCAGCTCAGGTCATGATCCCAGGGTCCTGGGATTGAGCCCCACATCGGGCTCCCTGCTCCACGGAAAGCCTGATTCTCCCTCTCCTGCTCCCTCTGCTTGTGTTCCTTCTCTCGCTGTGTCTCTCTCTATCAAATAAATAAATAAAATCTTAAAAAAAAAAAAAAAGAAATTGCTCTGTTGCCAACTAGAGGTAGGCTGGAAGGATAGAGTCTTTAAAGACAAAGCTTAGAGGTCTGATGCTCCTTGAAAGTTGAGACTGCAGTGACTTTTGCTAGAAGAAATTATATTTCAGTGGTCAGAACTTAATGTAAGTATAATACTTGCTATTTTTATTTTACAGTAAACAATCCTTTATATTTGTAATTTTAATTTTCACCACAGTCCTGAAGGTGGCTATTGTTTGTACATTTCAAATAGAAAAGATCCTTCAAGTGGTGGTTAAAGAACCAAAATGCAAATCCAGGTCTTCTGACTTAAGTGCATTGCTCTTTGTGCCCTGTACTATATATACAACCTTTTGACATTCTGAGGAGCCAAGTGTCTTATCCATTATCATGTCTTGGTTAAATACAAGAAGGGACTGAAAAAAGTAGTTTGGGGTAGTGAGATAAGAACTTCAAGGTACAAAAATTTATGAAAGCGAAGCATACTCCCAGGACTTTTTTTTTTTTTTTTTTTAAGGTTACAGACCCCTTTGAAACCCTGGTGAAAGCTGTGAACAGTACCCCAAAAATCCACATACATTCAGTTCTGTACAATGTAAGAACCTCTGATTTAAGGAAAGAAAGTGTGATTCTAAAGTCTAAAAAGAAAATTCTCAGTGTTTTTGTTTGTTTTATTACTAGTGGCTCACTAAGGGTGGGAGGGAGATCTTAAACAGACTTTGAACAAATGGGTGGCTATTTAAAGCTGCTTGGTGCCAAGCCTACCTTGAGGGAATTAAGAAGAAGGGGAGACGTTAGCAGATCATTTTATTTCTGTTGGGAAGACACTAAAGTCCTTCGTATTACAGAACTTTCCTGATAGACGCCCATCAGTGAGTGGTCTTTGAACTCCACTGAGGGACTCATAAATAGTAACTCTGCTTGTCTTTTAATTTATAAATGGGGATTTATAATGATTATGGTGTGCCCAGTTCTACCTCTTAGATTTGTGCAGGTGTCTTAAGGATATCATACTGACATGTAACTATTAACATGGTGAAAAAGTAGTTTTTTTTTTTTGGACAGAGAGAGACAGCGAGAGAGAGAGGGAACACAAGTGGGGGGAGTGGGAGAGGGAGAAGCAGGCTTCCTGCAGAGCAGGGAGCCCGGGAGCCTGATGCGGGGCTTGATCCCAGGACCCTGGGATCATGACCCAAGCCGAAGGCAGAGGCTTAATGACTGAGCCACCTAGGCACCCCGAAAAAGTAGTCTTTTAAATTGTACTTCATATATGTGTTACTTAAATCTTTATTAAGGTTGAAGGGTGCCTGGGTAGCTCAGTTGGTTAAGCGTCTGACTCTGGATTTCCGCTCGGGTCATGGTGTCAGGGATGTGGGATTGAGCCCTGTGCCAGGCTCCATGCTGCATGCTGCATGTGGTGCCTGCTTGGGATTCTCTGTCTCCCTCTCCTTCTGTCCTTCCTCATCACCCCCCCCACCCGCCCGAACTCTCTTTCAAATAAATAGCTCTTAAAAAAAATCTTTATTCAGGTTGATAAATCTTGGCATGCTCAACTGAAATTTATTCTGACTTGCCTTAAAACACTAAGATAAGTTCTTTGTTTGGTTCCTTAAAATATTGCACAAAATTAGTTTTGTCTGCAGGAGTCCGAGAACCAACTTTTGGAATAGTCTTTGTAGAGTATGTACTTTCTCTTTTTGCTGAGTATTAGATCTCAAACTGGTGATAGCTTCACTGTATTTAGAAAGATTAAGAATATTCTCATATGTGGATGCTAATTGTGGATCACTTAGAGTAAATTTTCATGTAGTTTTTGAAAAATCCTTAGCATCCTATGAAAGTTATTCTCCCACTGGTCAATTTTATTGCACATTTCTCTCAGTTAAATGTACTGTAAGTTGTTGCTCAGTTAGTGCTGGGACTAAGGAATATGTTTGCTTGATGTTTCCCAGGACTCTGAGGATTTTGAAGCTTCAACTTCCTACTTAATTGCCTTCCCAAGGAATATATTTTTTTATTTTTATTTTTTTTTAAGATTTTATTTATTTATTTGACAGAGAGACACAGCAAGAGCAGGAACACAAGCAGGGGGAGAGGGAGAGGGAGAAGCAGGCTTCCCGCTGAGCAGGGAGCCCGATGTGGGACTCGATCCCAGGACCCTGGGATCATGACCTGAGCCGAAGGCAGACGCCTAACGACTGAGCCACCCAGGTGCCCGGAATATATTTTTTTAGTGCTTAGGAAAATAATTGAACTTTGGGGCGGCTCAGTCATTAAAGGTCTGCCTTCGGCTCAGGTTGTGATCCCAGGGTGCTGGGATCGAGCCCCACATCGGGCTCCCTGCTCTTCGGGAAGCCTGCTTCTCCCTTTCCCACTCCCCCTGCTTGTGTTCCCTCTCTCGCTGTCTCTCTCTCTCTCTCTGTGAAATAAATAAATAAAAACTAATAATAATTGAACTTTCAAATAATAAATAATAATAAGACTTTGAAAATGAAGGCTTAAAATAAAAGCCGTTTTATTTTATTTTTTTAAAAAATTTATATATTTCAGTGTGTGAGAGAGAGAAGGGAGGAGGGGCAGAGGAAGAGGGAGAGAGAATTCAAGCCGACTGTGTGCTGAGCATGGAGCCCAACAGGGGGCTCGATCCCATGATCCTGAGATCATGACCTGAGCCTAAATCAAGAGTTGCTCCCTTAACTGAGCCACCCAGGCACCTCTAAAAGCCATTTTAAAGTTTTAAAAGTGAGTGAATCTTAGCAGGGAATTTATATGGGATGACTTGCAATCTATGAACTGTTACAACACCTAGTTAGTATGGAAATACTGTCTTTATGTTAGAAAAATGATTTATGAACCATTTTATTGTTAGAGGCTAAAAGTTTTGGTTAGATTGTATGGTATCCCCTTTAGATACGTAAGTGGCAGGGGAGCCTGGGTGGCTCAGTTGGTTAAGCGACTGCCTTGAACTCAGGTCATGATCCTGGAGTCCCGGGATTGAGTCCCACATTGGGCTCCCAGCTCAGCAGGGAGTCTGCTTCTCCCTCTGACCCTTCCCTCTCTCATGTGCTCTCTCTCTCTCATTCTCGCTCTCTCAAATAAATAAATAAATAAAATCTTTAAAGAAGTATGGATCATATGTTTAAAAAAAAAAAAGATACGTAAGTGGCAGACCCAGAATTATCACACTGTTATTTAATGGTCTCTTTCCTCCTCTGATTGCTTTTTTGCCTCATGTAAAAGTTACAGCCTATCGAGGCCAGACTCAGCCAAGGATATCTTAATTCTAATATTTCAGTGAGCGTTGCAAATAATATGTAATTCTTTTATCGGAGTAAAGCTTTCAGCTGACAGTGAAAGTCTTGAAACTAAATGACATTACTCCCATTTTCCCTCATTCTTTGTAACTAGAAGAGGTGACAGTTTTCAGCGATCTGTGTTTAATGGAGGATTGATCTTCTGAAAGAGTTTTTGTTTTTAGCATAGCTACTGTGTGAACTTCCTTAGTGATAGATATGTACTGTTTTCCTCTTGATGCTTTATTTTAGGATTTATTTTATTTGAAAAAGCTTCAGTATAAAATAAGCATAGATTAGGGGTGCCTGGGTGGCTCAGTCGGTTAAGCAGCTGCCTTCAGCTCAGGTCATGATCCCAGGGTCCTGGGATCGAGCCCCGCATCGAGCCCCACATCGGGCTCCCTGCTCGGCGGGACGCCTGCTTCTCCCTCTCCCTCTGCCTGCCTCTCTGCCTACTTGTTCTCTCTCTGTATCTCTCTGCCAAATAAATAAATAAAATCTTTAAAAAAAATAAAATAAGCATAGATTATATAATACTTATATCTACCTACATACAAAGACATAGCTCACTGTAATATATAAAACTTTAATATATAGATGAGATGAAATTAATTTCTCTATCATTGTGTTTTGGGATTCGAAGGCCTGTTTGGAAAAGAAAAATGCCTACTTGATTAATCAGGGGATGTTCATACATTACCCGTAAGTCTTAGTTTATAAAATTCTCAGACCATGTGGACAGTATGTTAATCATTTACTTGTATATTCTTACACATTATCTTTGATACATTTTTGGTCTAACCTTCAACCCAGATCAGTTCATTTCAGAAAGCCTACAGCTTTTATGAAGTATTAGAGAGCAAAGCTCTGAGCAACAGCAAGTCTTCTGTGATAGAATACTGAGCAATGTGATTTTCTTCCACTACATTGTATTCTGTACAATTAAACACATTGCTTTCCTTATCTTTAGTTATTAAGGAAAACAAAAATAAATCACTTTCATCTTTCTGACTCAGGATGGAGTAGGTAGTTATTTTTAAGTTGATTAACAAAGTATAGTATTTGTTTAATTGACAACTGACATTGAAACAGGAACCATGTATGACAACATAAAATAGTTGTTTTACTGTTTTCTTGAAAGCCCTATTTTTTTCCCATTTTTTGTTTCTTTTTGGTATTTTAATAGTAAATAGCTTTGTACCAATTTGTAATCTGCATTTTTTTCTTTATTAAAAGAAATTGTGGTAAAATGTAATCTTTTTAACATAATAGTTTATCAGGCATTGCTGGTGGGCACTTTTACTGAAGTCTTCCTATCACTAAAACAAAACCTTGTTTTACTTTTTTTAAGTAAGCTCTGTGCCCAACGTGGGGCCTGAACTAACGACCCAAAGATCAAGAATTGCATGCTCAATGGACTGAGCCAGCCAGGCGCCCCAGACCTTGTTTTACTTTTTTTAAACTAAAAACAATCAATAGTAATAAAAATTCTAATAATATAGATTTAAGTTAACAGTAATCTCTTTCCTATTATGAAAGTCTTTAAAATTTACATACATGTAATACTGTTTGCATGATTTTATGTATTTTAGTGTTTTTTTAAAGATTTTTATTTATTTGTCAGAGACAGAGAGAGAGAGAGAGAGAGCACAAGCAGGGGGAGCAGCAGAGGGAGATGGAGAAGCAGGCTCCTCACTGAGCAAGGTACCCGATGTGGGACTTGATCCCAGGACCCTGGGATCATGACCTGAGCCGAAGGCAGACGCTCAACGACTTGAGTTACGCAGGCGTCCCTGTATTTTAGGTTTTTTTACTCATTCAATCTTGGCTGTCTTTCTATATTTAGAACATGTAGATTTTTTTTCTTTATTACAGCTGCAGAGTATTTTATTGCTATTTACAGATGTGTCAACATTTATTTACCTTACTCTCCACTGACAGATACTAAGGTTTTCTTCTTAAGATTTTATTTTTTTAAGTAATCTCTACACCCCATGTGGAGCTTGAATTTAAACCCGAGATCAAGAGCCTCATGTTCCACCCACTGAGCCAGCCAGATGCCCCAATATTAAGGTTTTAAGTTAAAACAATTCTGCAGTAAATTTCCTTTTCTCTTTGTGAGTGGTAACAAATATTTGTAAATTGTCACCCAAGGAATTGCTGGGTCAGTAGACCTTTAAAAATTTGATGCTTTCTAATTGACCTCCAAAAACAGTGTACTAATCATCAGGGTCCACATTTCCTCCCATATTGCTAATACTAGTGGTGTGTATATTTTAAATCATTGCTAACCTGGTAAGTAAAAACAAGGGGATCTTGTGTATTTCTTGAATTTTGAGTAAAGTTGGACACCAGTCTTTTTACAGCTAGCCATTTTTTCTTACTACTAACACAATTTGTCTGTTTTTCTATATTTTCTTATTTATTGGTATGAGTTCTTCATAAAGCTAAAATTTTTAAATGCTGTATAATATTCAGTGCTGTTATAATATCAGTCATATCTTTCTAACATTATGCTGCAGTTAATTTCATGCATGTATTTTGTTGATTCTGGGTGAATTATTTTCTTAGAACAAACTTCTGGGTATGAAGTTGGGTAAAAAGACTGAACTTCCTTGTATTTTCTTAATCTGAAGTAACTTATTTAATATGTAATAGATGTTATTTAATGTATGTAATATATTTAAGATTGTATTTCCAATGGCTATGGAAGTAAAAGAAAATCACCTATAATCCTACCACCAAAGACAACCACTGTTAACTGTTGTGCTGTATATCTTTCTAATGTTTTATTTTTATATTGCATAGCCTGTTTTTCTTTTCCTCCTTAACGAATATAAGGAACATCTTTCAATGTCAATAAATAGAGCTATACCACAGCATAATTTTTTTGTCTTTTCGCTTTTTTAATTTGTTAAAATATTATAATATGTATAATACAGAACTTACCATTATAATAATTTTAAGGGTACAATTCAATGACATTAAGTACATTCATAACCATTAACACTAAGCCATCTCCAGAACTTTTTCATTATTCCAAACTGAAACTCTGTACCCATTAATAACAGCATAATTTTTATTCCTTTAACTATTCTCCTATTGTAGACATTTAAGTTGTTTGCAGTTTTTTCTACTTATAATAGGTAGCATAATATTTTCCTTGTCTGATTATTTCCTCATGATAGCAGTTCTTCTAAGAATCTGTAGCAGTAGGTATGTTAAGGGCGATTCTTTAAAATTAGTCTTGAATGACAGTCTTCACCACCACCCCCAAACTTATCTTTAATTTTATAATAAAAGTTAAGGTAAGTAGGAGGTTACATATAAAAATATAGTTTATGGATGTTTTGTTGTTAAATAGCTATTTTTTTTAAAAGATTTTATTTCTTTATTTGACAGAGACAAAGCAAGAGAAGGAACACAAGCAGGGGGAGTGGGAGAGGGAGAAGCAGGCTTCCCACTGAGCAGGGAGCCCGATGCGGGGCTCGATCCCAGGACCCTGGGATCATGACCTGAGCCAAAGGCAGACGCTTAACGTCTGAGCCACTCAGGCGCCCCGTTAAATAGCTATTTTGTAAAAAGATAACTTATATGGAATAGAGGAATCAAAATCTCTTTCAAAGTCATTGATGTTTTGAGGGGTGCCTGCCTGCCTGGCTCAGTCCGAAGAGCGTGTGACTCTTGATCTTGGGGTCGTGAGTTCAAGCCCTACGCTGGGTGTAAGAGATTACTAAAAATCAACAAACTTTAAAGTCAGGGGTTTTTCAACAGCTTGAGGTTAAGTGACTTTACTCATTTGAAAGGGTGTGAAGAGGGGTGTGCACAGGATGCATCATTTATATGGGGAAGGGTAATCATACATATTCTGCTGTTCTGGTGGAAAAGGTTAAGAAACTATTACCCATGTTCTGTTTTATTTGACTGGTTAAGAGATAGTGTGTTTTACTTAACTCGGGTTTTAACAGAATTTTTAAAATGTCAGAATTATAAATTCTTCTAATCAAAGCCTTTGCTTCTCCCTTAGGATTGGCAGCCACCATTTGCATGTGATGTTGACAAACTTCATTTTACCCCCCGTATCCAGAGGCTGAATGAATTGGAGGTAATATCTTAACTGTTGTTCTGGTGGACTGTATTCCAGAGGGACTTTCTTCGAAGAATCTCTGTCACAAATCTGGTGGTTTTAGTGAAGCTAAGATATGGCCAGTCATTGATAATCATGGTAAAACAAATGGCAATAAGGCCTTTGTAGCAAGCCAGATTTCAAATGGCAGTAAGGCCTTTGTAGGAAGCCAGATTTCATTAAAAACACTGATTTTTGTCAATCATTGTTGGCCTCTTAATTCATTTA